CTCTTCCCTTCTTCAAATCTGGAAGAAGTGCTCTATGCTCTTGCTCTTGACTGACTTTCGTATTGCTGGATGTTTTACAGGTAAATGGAAAGGTTACTTTATAGACAACAGGTTTTCTGCTGGAGGGCCGGCCAACAACAAGTGGTACATGGACATTAACATGGCTTTTGGAAACAACCATCAATTCACTGCAACTGGGAGTGATGAAGTTGGTCACTTCAATTTTGAGGATGGAAAAATAACAGGTAATTAGAACAATTATTCTAGTTTGTTTGAGCAAAAATGATTAGAATGTGTAGCTGAAAATCTTCCTTCACTGATCCTGTGTCAAATATTTAGGAACCTCACCTAACCATAGTTCCTGTGTTGTGTGTGACTGTAACATTAATGCATGGTATTGTACTAAGTTAGCCCTTTGCCTCCTCACCCTTGTCCAACCATATCTCGCAGTTATGGACTACAGTTCGAAGTTATGTATCAACATGGACTCTTTAGGGAAATTCTTCAGTTTCATTTGCTAATTTCCATGGTTTTTTGTGCACAAATTAGAGCAGAATATGAAATGAAGATAATCAGCTGGAATCTAACTCATAGAAAAGGAACATGTATGAAAAATGCATTATGAAAAATCAAATATACGATTTTTCATATAATTATTCTTAGCATTTGACTCATGGAAAAGGGTTGTGGTATTTGAAACTGAATTATCCCTACAATGTACATGATGACTTTAAAACTTATTTTGATACAATAAAATTCAGTGTAAAAAATAACCAATATCACAAGGTAGGGAGGGGAACTGTGGAGCACATCAACTGAAAACTTACAGAAGTCTTTCTTTTAGTGGTAAAGTTTGATATGAGGAAATTGGAAACTTACCAAAGCTGACAGTTGTAACTTCTTTCCCCTTTCCCCACCTATCTATTCTTAGAGGAAAGACGGAGCCAATGATAACAATAGCATGTGACTTCTTTCAAACTCCAGTCAACAGATAACATTTTTTTTAATTGTTATTCTGAATAAGTTTACCCACAAAATGTTTATGAAACTAGTTACCAGTTACTGAGGCTACCAGTAAGGGTGAAAAAGGCTTCTTTTAATTTTACTTTCAGATGGTAAAGTAACATTCTGCAAGGCATACAATAGCCACAACGTGTATTACGAAGGTGAAGTAAAAGGAACGAAATTAGAAGGTCAATGGTGGCTTGAGGATGCCCCTTCTACAAAGGGTGATTGGGCCATGTGGCCTGCAACAAGTTCAGACATCTGAGTCTCAGAAAGGATCAATTCAAAGCCCAAAGACCTCTTGTTGCGTGTCCAAATATACCAGTTGAAGGAAAATCATCTGTAACTGTTGTTTCTATTTAAAATTCACTTTATGAAATAAACTATTCTTATGAAATAGTGCAGATATATTTGCTTTTACAAAAAAACTCAAGGTTGCATGGTCATTGTTGTTGAAAAACCATACCTCCCTCCAGACATTATGGATGGTGTTGTGACTATAAATAGTTCTTAATTTAATTTATTCCATTTTCAATGCATTAATTTGCAGTGGGGAAGGACTAGAAGGGAACATACAAACCATTTGAGCTAGTCCACCTTCCCACCCATCCCACCCCAGGGGAGGACATCCATCACACAGTAATCTCATGTGTGGGAAATTAATGTCTCCTACCCCAACCCTGCAGGAGATGGGACCTCCATTTATTCGTCCCTATCTGAGAAGACTAGAATATCTAACCATTAATTTCTTGATGTTATACAAAGGTAGCAAATTCTTCTCAATTATTTTAAGACCTTGAGTGTTGGTCTGGCCGAGGATTGAACCCTCGACCTCCCGCACAACAGTCCAGAGTACTATCCATTGGGCTAACTGGGTGGCAGTTGGATTTTATTTCTAGCAAGCATAAAACCACACAGAGTCATACTAACTTAAAGGGACAAAAGGCTGAAAATAAAAATTACGACTGTATTTTAATACCTTTTCACTCGGATAGACAATCTCTTTAACTCATGTAGATTTTCTACTATTTTTTAACACCAATCCAGCACTCATATCCACTTATAATTATACACATATTCCTGAAGTGAATAATGGTTTTTATCTTGATGTTAATCAAACAAAATCTTTGCACTCCTACACAGTGTTTTTAGTAAAGTTTTCATTTGTCTGTGCACAAAAAGAAACTTTGTGCTGTTTTTTTTTTTCAGTTACAAAAACTGCAAGTAGCTATTGATTCTACATTAAAATAAGTCAACATAACTTAGTTTGAAAAAGCGGTTAGCTTTTCTAAATAGACATAGTATGTACCGGTAAGTCTATTGAACAACAACAACAAATTTATTTAAGCTTAATACGGAAAATTACAAGCTCGGGCCCGCAAGTAGCTAGGGCTATTCGAGGCGGGCACAAGAGAGGAAAATAAAAAAAAAAAAAAGGAAAAGAATTCTATAGAAATTGAATATTTATATGTATAATTATAATATATAGACGAAC